AGCAGTACTAAAAATGTAACATGGTATCCTTCCTCAATTTGCAGAAAAAGAAATAAAAGACATAATTCAGTCAATTATCTTCCTCCAAACTTTCTTAAGCCTTTGGTTTCTGCTTTTGTCTGCCAACGAGCACGTATAAATAGAGCACTTTTAGAACTGGCTGAGCATGTTAAGTTCCATGGCTGATTTTTCCCCAGACTTGTAATGTGAGAATTGCTTTTTAACTTTTTTTTTGTGATATAATAATATATCCTACTAGTTAAAATGTTTCCTCATTCGAACGACCAGATTAATAGCATCAGTATTGCAAAATGCTTCCTATGAAGTGCTATACTTCCTGGTGCCCTGCCTATTAAACCTACTTGAGAATCATGCTCTCATCCAGTGTTTTCTAGTTACAAAAAAGAAGAACAAGTTTCTTTTCTTTTTTTGAAACAGAGTCTCACTCTCTCACCCAGGCTGGAGTGCAGTGGCATGATCTGAGCTCACTGCAACCTCCGCCTCCTAAGTCCAACCAATTCTCCTGCCTCGGCCTCCCAAGTAGCTGGGACCACAGGTGCCCGCCACCACGCCCAGCTAATTTTTGTATTTTTAGTAGAGTCAGGGTTTCACCACGTTGGCCAGGCTGGTCTTGAATTCCTGGCCTCAAGTGATCTGACTGTCTCGGTCTCCCTAAATGCTGGGATTACAGGCATGAGCCACTGCACCCAATCTCCAAAAAATAACACGTTTCTGAGAAACTACATTGCTTACTTAAGTTCATGAAGCCCTCTATGGGACAGGTTCAGACTAATCCCCGTAAAGTGAGCACTCCAGATGTTTCCTTGGTTGCCACTTATCAACTTGATAAACAAGGATTGTTGGATGACTACAATAATGAAAGGACAGAGAGGTCAAGGTGATTCACAGGTTTCTGAACTGGTGAGTGGATTATGGTTCCATTCACCAAAATTGAGAATACAGGTTGCTAATTCTAAATACCGACTCACTTTATCTTGGCACAAGTTAATGTATAAAATGTGTAAAATAAAAGGTTTCCTGGGGATGGGAGGAATGAGAAATTGTTGTTTAATGGGCATAGAGTTTCAGTTTTGCAAGATGAAAAGAGTTCTAGGCCAGGCACGTTAGGTCACAGCTGTAATCCCAGCGCTTTGGGAGGCCGAGGTGGGTGGATCACTTGAGGTAGGAATGTGAGACCAGCCTGGCCAACATGGTGAAACCCCATCTCTCCTAAAAATACAAAAAAGTAGCCGAGCATGGTGGTGGGAGCCTGTAATCCCAGCTACTTGGGAGGCTGAGGCAGGATAATTGCTTGAACCCAGGAGGCAGAGGTTGCAGTGGGCCAAGATAGCACCACTGCACTCCAGCCTAGGCAACAAGAGCAAAACTCCATTTAAAAAAAAAGAAAGAAAGAAAAAAAGAAAAGAATTCTGAAGAATGGTTACATAATAATTTGAATGTACTTCTGAACTCCATACTTTAAAATGATTAAGATTGTACATTTTCTGTTATATATGTTTTATCACAATAAAAAATGAATAAAAGGTTTTCCTTTCCTAGCTTACCCCTGTCCACCCATTGTTCAAATTGGAGCTTTCTCTCTTAGCTTCTGTGATGAGTGAAGAGGTGCTCCCCAAAGATATTTTAAAATACTAATATAAGGAATGTTATTTCATTTATTCACTTTCAGAGGGAGCTCAAGAAGTTGTCAAATTGTTGGCCAGGAGTGGTGGCTCACGCCTGTAATCCCAGCACTTTGGGAGGCCGTAGCAGGCGGATCACGAGGTCAGGAGATCGAGACCATCCTGGCGAACACGGTGAAACCCCATCTCTACTAAAAATACAAAAAATTGGTGGGTGTGGTGGTGGGCGCTTGTGGTCCCAGCTACTCGGGAGGCTGAGGCAGAAGAATGGCATGAACCCGGGAGGCGGAGCTTGCAGTGAGCTGAGATTGTGCCACTGCCCTCCAGCCTGGGCGACAGGGTGAGACTCCGTCTCAAAAAAAAAGGTTGTCAAGTGAATGAATTAATTAGTTCAACAAATATTCATCAGTTTTCCTACCTTGAACCTGGGATGTTCTAAGCCCTTTGTTCTCAAAGTGTGGTCTCCAGATCAGCAACACCAGCATCACCAGGGAATTTGTTAGAAATATACATTCCTGTGGGGCATGGTGGTTCATGCCCATAATCCCAGCACTTTGCGAGGCTGAGACATGCAGATTGCTTGAGTCCAAGAGTCTGAGACCAGCTTGGGCAGCATGGTAACACCCCTTCTCTACAAAATAAAAAATTAGCTGGGCATGGTGGTGCACACCTATAGTCCCAGCCACTTGGGAGGCTGAGGTGGAAGCGCTGCTTGAGTCTGGGAGGTTGAGGCTGCAATGAGCTGTGATCATTCCACTGCACTCAGCGAGAAAAAAAGGAAAGAAAGAAGTATACATTCCTGGACCCCACTTCAGATATACTGAATCAGAAACTTTGGCACTAGGACCCAACAATCGCTATTTTTACCAGCCTCTCAGATTATTCTGATGCATGCTCAAGTTTAAGAAAGATAATTCTAGGTTGCAAAGATACAGAGGCAAAGAAAACAAAGTGCCTGTCCTCTTGGAATAACAACAGACAAATAGATATAAATAAAATTTCAGGCAAAGGGAAGTGTTAGCAGGGAAAGCAGCACAGGAGGAGGGAGAACACAGAGGATGCTCAGGCAGGGTCTCTCTGAGGGGTATGAACTCTGAAGTCACCTCGAGTCTGAAAATTGGCTCCACCAGTTTCTAGCCTTTTAAAAGTTTGCTTTTCTCATCTTCTAAGAAAGAGATAATAATATTACCTACAAGTTTACTCTGAAGATTAAATAAGATAACACTTATAAAATCCTTGCAACTGTTTCTGTCACTGAGTAAGGCTTCAACAAACATTAGCCCTCCACATATGATGGGGAGTGCCATAGATGTATATTTGGGAGTCATTGATGTAGAAATTAATAGTAAAGTGGATGAAAAGGTGGATAAACCAGGACACAAAAAGAGAAGAGGATGGATGATGGGCTGTTTTTGGTGGTGGGGGCAGAAGTGGGTTGAGAGATGATGGGGAGGTAAAGAAATGAAGATGTGGAAAGGGAGCTTTTTTCTGAACCCAGCTAAAGCTGGAAATTTGGAAGAGGAGGCCAGTGGATTGGGTGATGAACCAACTATTTGGTATGCCTGTGACTGAGGAGGTTCTCAGGATGCAGGACTTTCAGTGCTAAAACTAGGAAAGTCCTGGGCAAGCTGGGCTGGCAGTGGATATGACCATGGAGGGTGAAGTGAGCAATAAATACTCTGACCTTTCTTTCCTGGTGGTCTCTCATCTCCTTACAGTCACCTTATAAAGTGCCTTTACAGGGGCCTGACCCAACCAGAAGCCAGAGGGCAAGGGAGCTGGGATAATACAGTCTAGACAGGTCAGCCTTGCCTTAACACAAAACAGGGTAAAGGAAGGACAGAGAATTAACCTGGAGGGGCAAAAAATAATGGCCAGCACAGTGGCAAAGCTGGGATTAGAATTGTTTGGGATAGGCTAGGTGCGGTGGCTCATGCCTGTAATCCCAGTACTTTGGGAGGCTGAGACGGGCGGATCACGAGGTCAGGAGTTCGAGATCAGCCTGGCCAACACGGTGAAACCTCATCTCTACTAAAGATAAAAAAAAAATAGCTGGGTGTGGTGGCATATACCTGTAATTCCAGCTACTTAGGAGGCTGAGGCAGGAGAATGGCTTGAACCCGGGAGGCGGAGGTTGCGATGAGCCAATATCAGGTCATTGCACTTTAGTTTTTTTTTTTTTTTTTTTTGAGACGGAGTCTCGCTCTGTCGCCCAGGCTGGAGTGCAGTGGCTGGATCTCAGCTCACTGCAAGCTCCGCCTCCCGGGTTTATGCCATTCTCCTGCCTCAGCCTCTCCAGTAGCTGGGACTACAGGCGCCCGCCACCTCGCCCGGCTAGTTTTTTGTATTTTTAGTAGAGACGGGGTTTCACCATGTTAGCCAGGATGGTCTCGATCTCCTGACCTTGTGATCCGCCCGTCTCGGCCTCCCAAAGTGCTGGGATTACAGGCTTGAGCCACCGCGCCCGGCCTCCCTACACTTTAGTTTTTAAAGACTAAAGGTCTTTAATAAATAAAAGTGGGCCAGGCGCGGTGACTCACGCCTGTAATCCCAGCACTTTGGGAGGCCGAGGCGGGGCGGATCATTTGAGGTCAGGAGTTCGAGACCAGCCTGGCCAACATGGTGAAACCCCGTCTCTACTAAAAATACAAAAATTAGTCAGGCATTGGTGGCGGGTGCCTGTAATCCTAGCTACTCGGGAGGCTGAGGCACGAGAATCTCTTGAACCCGGGAGGCGGAGGCTGCAGTGAGCCAAGATCGCGCCATTGCATTCCATCCTGGCTAACAGAGGGAGGCTCCGTCTCAAAAAAAAAAAAAAAAAAACCAGTGTGTGTGTATACATATATATGTGTGTGTGTGCATATATGTGTGTACATATATGTGTGTGTGTCTATGTGTGTATATGTGTGAGTGTATATATGTGTGTGTGTATATATATATATTCAGTGGTAAGTGTCGTGTACAAAAGGCAGACAGGATCTAGCTGCTCCAGAAATGAAGTCAGTGGAGAAAATCCCACGGGGACCTTGGAATCCCTTTAAAAAGGTTCAGGTACAGGACACTCCCAGGTGCCCAGGAACCGTTTCCCAGCTCACTTCCCCCCGAAGACTCACCCCTCCAACCGCACTTCCTGCTTTGGCAAGTGTCAATGGTCAAAGACCACTGCTCGCCTGGTACCTACTGCCCGCCCCAGTGTACCTCCAGCTCCCCGAGGCGCCGCTACCAGCAGCTGCGACCCAGCCTGGGTTATTTGAGGTCGGCCGGAGGCGCTGCGTGATTGGTGGGTCGGAATGGGGCGGGGACTCGCTGGAAAATCCCCTCTGGATTGGTGCAAACCATGGGGGTGGGACCTCCACTCTGGCTGGGCGGGAAAGCTCGAACAGCGCTGCCGGGCTGGAGACGGCGGGAGCCGCTGCTCTCCGGCTGAGGGAACCAGAGACAGCTCCGTCCCTAACGGAGCACCGGGGAGGCAGGAGTCATGACGGGCGAGGTGGGTTCTGAGGTGAGTTTACGCACACGCCCCCCACCGGGGCTGCGAAGGCCCGGCACCGAGGGGTTAGGTGGGCCGGGGTAGACACCGCTGACCCGGGGCGCCCGGACGGGAGGACTGCGGCTCCCGGCGTTCACCGCGTCGGCTCCCGCAGCCTCGAGACTCGGTCGGGATGGGTTCCGACCAGGCGTCCCGTCCCGCCGCCAGGCTTCCCGCGCTTCGGGCTCCGTGGCCGGGGAGCTCCAGGTCTCTGCGGCGCGCGCTGCCGGCAGCCCAGCCCCTCCTCAGCCGGTTCCTGCCGCCAGCCCTCCCCTTTGGCGCGTTTCCTGTCGCGGAAGCTCCTCCCCTCAGGGTGCCCTGAAAGCCAGGAGGCTCTGGCCGAACCGGGCTGCAGGGGTGCGGGGCGGGATTCTCCGCAAAGAGAGGACGAGGGTGTTAGGGGGTTCCACATTGGGCCTGGGAGGGGCCCTGGAGGTCATCGCGCGGAGGCCCTTTGCGTTTTCCTACGGGGCCCCGAGTGGGAAGTCACCGTTGGGGCTCCTGGCTGGTGGCTCACACCTCCCTGGCGAAATTGGGCGTAGAAAATAGATGTTTCCAGACCTGTGTCCTTTCTGGGGCCGGATTCGGGCAAGGCACTCTCGCCTTAGGAGCAAAATTTAAAGGGGCGCCAAAACACTCAATCATCAAACTCATATTTTAATGCATTTTTTTTTAAAAAAAACCGAAATTAATGCAAAAAAGTTTTTATGATTTGATATTGAACAAAATATCAGACGTTTAAACAGAGACAAGATCTGACCAGTCATTTGCACGACCTTGCCTTACTCACCTCACCCTAATCCCGTCCCTGGTTCCAATAAACTTTATCTACAAAAGCGGGTGTATTATTTACCTCATGAGCCGTAGATTATTGATTTAATTTTTTAAAAAATATTGCATTAATATTTATTTTGATTACTGAATTTTTTGAGACCTCACCCCACCCCAACGTCAAATGTCACCCTGCCCTTTGATGTTGCTGCAAATTGCCTAGAAGAGAATCGTCATTCAAAGCAGCCCTATTCCTTGAGCTGTCTGGTTACCTAAATTCGGTTTCCACATTCACAAACAGAAGTAACAGTTTCAATGCTTTGGATTGTTGAAAGGATCGTCAGTGCATACACATTAATTCTCAGCAATCCCAGCACTTTGGGAGGCCAAGGCCAGCAGATTGCTTGAGCTCAAGATTTGGAAACCAGCCTGCGTAGAAAACGTGGCAAAATCCCGCCTCTACAAAAAAAAAAAAAATACAAAAATTAGCCGGGCGTCGCCCGTAGTCCCAGCTACTCGGGAGGCTGAGGTGAGAGGATCCTTTGGGCCTGGAGGTCAAGGCTGCAGTGAGCCATGATCCTGCCACTGCACTCTAGCCTGGGTGACAGAGTGAGATGCTGTATCAAAAAAAAAAAAAAAAAAAAAAAATTGTGCCAAGCATCCAAATTAATTTTTTATATATATATATAGATATGTTTTTTTTTTCCGAGATGGAGTCTCGCTCTGTTGCCCAGGCTGGAGTGCAGTGGCGCAATCTCGGCTCACTGCAACCTCTGTCTCCCGGGTTCAAGTGATTCTCCTGCCTCGGCCTCCTGAGCAGCCGGGACTACAGGCACACACCACCATGCCCAGCTAATTTTTGTATTTTTAGTAGAGACGGGGTTTCACCATATTGGCCAGGCTGGTCTCGAACTCCTGACCTCGTGATCCACCTGCCTCGGCCTCCCAAAGTGCTGGGATTACAGGCGTGAGCCACCATGCCTGGCCAATTTAATGATTTTTTGAGGAACCACTCAGGTGAGGCCTTGTACCCTGCTACATTACTGATGTTCATATTTCTCCCTTTATTAATAAGTTGATTCAGAGCCCTGAGAACTCCAAGGAGGCAGACTTGGCATCTAGGATTAGCTTGGTTACTAACTGATCAAGTCACCTAACACACCTCTCCTTAGGTTTTTATTTGCGACTTTTTAAACTGTCTTATTTAGAAATTTTCAAACCTATACAACCGTAGAAAGGATGGTATAATGAACCCATCACCTTACTTCAACTACAGTTTGAATATGTCTTGTCTGAAATGCTTGGGACCAGAAGGGTTTTGAATATCAGATTCATTTTGGGTTTTGGAATATTTGCATACACTTAATGAGATGTCTTGGGGGAGGGACCCAAGTCTAAACATGAAATTCAGTTATATTTCATATATACCTTACACACATAGTCTGAAGGTAATTTTATACAGCATTTAAAAATAATTCCGTGCATGAAGCAAAGGTTTTATTGCAGCTCATCATATGAGGCCAGGTGTGGGATTTTCATCTAGTGACATCATGTCAGTGCTAAAATATTTTGGATTTGGGAGTATTTCAGGTTCAGATTAGAGATGTTCAACCTGTATTATCAAATCATGGCCAATCTTGTTTCATTCATACTACTACCCATTTTTCCTCTCACGGGATTATTTGGAGGAAAATCCCAGATATCATATTATTTGAACCATAAATATTTTAGTGTGCCTATCTAACAGACAAGGGCTTTCCAAAAAAAGATAACTACAATATTATTACCACACCTAAGAAGTACCTAGTCAGTGTTCAGATTTCTTTGACTCATGGATATTTCATTTATTTTTATATGTCACTTTAGCATAATTATTTACATTTTTTTGAATCATCATCAGAAGTTGCATATTGCAATTGTTTATATTATATATGTGTATATATCATATATAAAGCATACTTATATATGTGTGTATATACATATATGTATGTATTTTAAGATATACATACATATATAAAGCATACATCTATGTATATAGAAATATACAGGGCCAGGTGTGGTGGCTTACGCCTGTAATTCCAGCATTTTGGGAGGCTGAGGCAGGCGGATCACCTGAGGTCAGGAGTTTGACACCAGCCTGGCTGACATGGTGAAACCCCATTTCTTTTTTTTTTTTTTTTTTTTTTTTTTTTGAGACAGAGTCTCGCTCTGTTGCCCAGGCTGGAGTGCAGTGGCCGGATCTCAGCTCACTGCAAGCTCCGCCTCCCAGGTTCACGCCATTCTCCTGCCTCAGCCTCCCGAGTAGCTGAGACTACAGGCGCCTGCCACCTCACCCGGCTAGTTTTTTGTATTTTTTAGTAGAGACGGGGTTTCACCGTGTTAGCCAGGATGGTCTCGATCTCCTGACCTCGTGATCCACCCATCTCGGCCTCCCAAAGTGCTGGGATTACAGGCTTGAGCCACCGCGCCCAGCCCCATTTCTACTAAAAATACAAAAAATTAGCCGGGCATGGTGGCACGCACCTGTAATCCCAGCTACTCGGGAGGCTGAGGCAGGAGAATCGCTTGAACCCAGGAGGCGGAGGTTGTAGGGAGCCAAGATCGTGCCATTGCACTCCAGCTTAGGCAACAAGAGCAAAACTCCGTCTCAAAAAAAAGAAAAAGAAAGAGAAATATAGCATATAGAAATATACATACATGTATAAATATATGGAAATATACATACGTACACATGTATATTCATTTACTTATGTATTAACTAACTTTATAGGTTTCTCTCCCTCTCTTTTTTTTTCTTTGCAATATATTGCAAAGGCCAGGTGCAGTTGCTCATACCTGTAATCCCAGCACTTTGAGAGGCCAAGGCGGGCAGATCACCTGAGGTCAGGAGTTTGCAACCAGCCTGGCCAGCATGGGGAAAACTTGTCTCTATTAAAATACAAAAAATTAGCTGGGCATGGTGGTGTGCGCTTGTATTCCCAGCTACTTAGGAGGAGAATCGCTTGAACCCAGGACGCAGAGGTTGCAGTGAGCAGAGATTGTGCCACTGCACTCCAGCCTGGGTGACAGAAGAAAGATCCTATCTCAAAAAAAGAAAGAAAGAAAGAAACCACCCAGTTTGACTTGTGGAGTTTCCCACATCTAGGTTGCATCTCTGTGGTATTATTCAACATGTTGCCCTATTCACTCTATTTCCTGTAACTTGGTAGTTAGATCTAGAGACTTGATAGGATTCAAATTTGATTGTTCTGTCAGGAATACTTTATAGCTAGTATTGGGTACTTCTATTAGGCAGCACATAATGTCTGGTTGTTTCTCTTTTGGTGATGTTAGCAGCCATTAATGATAATTGCCGAGGTCTGTTATTTAATTGAGGGTTGATAAAACTGTGATAATCTAATTCTATCATTTGTTAATTCATTAAGATATTTCTCTAAATAGAAACTTCCCCTCATCAATATATGGGGAACAGTTCACACAGAAAAGGCATAATAAGTGCTTGATTCTTTTCATTCTTTTACCATTACTAAAGGAGTTGGTTCTGTTAGCATCCTTCAAAGGTGAAAAATGAACTTTTGTTTGTTTGTTGTCCAGTAATTCTAAATGTCATCCCTTCAAGGAACCATCGTATTTGGTTCTTTCCTTAGTTCAGGTTGATGATCCCATGATTTGTGTGTCATTATGTACTTAGAGCTTTCGGTCACCTGCTGGTTAATACAAAGTATATTGTCATTTTCTAGGTTCACCTGGAAATCAATGATCCAAAAGTCATTTCACAAGAGGAAGCAGATAGTCCTTCAGATAGTGGACAGGGCAGCTGTGAAACAATTGGACCCTTGAGTGAAGGAGGTTTGTAATAGTAATTTTATTTTTAGGAATAGTATGCAGGAGCCTCAGTTGTAAGTAGATTGGATTAATTTCATTATTCTCTTGATTTATTACATTAATGCCCCATCCTTATTGTTTGTTTTGTTGTTGTTGTTTTTTTTGTTGTTGTTGTTGTTTTTTTTTTTTTTTTGAGACAGAGTCTCACTCTGTAGCCCAGGCTGGAGTGCAGTGGCCGGATCTCAGCTCACTGCAAGCTCCGCCTCCCGGGTTCACACCATTCTCCGGCCTCAGCCTCCCAGGTAGCTGGGACTACAGGCGCCCGCCACCTCGCCCGGCTAGTTTTTTGTATTTCTTAGTAGAGACGGGGTTTCACCGTGTTCGCCAGGATGGTCTCGATCTCCTGACCTCGTGATCCGCCCGTCTCGGCCTCCCAAAGTGCTGGGATTACAGGCTTGAGCCACCGCGCCCGGCCTATTGTTTGTTTTATGATAAAAGCAAAATAACAGTGCTTGTACCTTTTTGAAACTATGTTATATTGTTGATTGTCTAATAGCTACCACATTGCCTGGTTAATTGCATCCATCCTATAATAAAAGGAATTTTAACACCTGCCAGAGGATTAGAACAACTTCACACATTGTAAATATACATAAAATTACATTTCCCAGTAAGAGACATTTTTCCCAGGGAAAATGTTTTTCAAAATGTATTTTTAGATTTGCTTTGCTACAATCAGTTCTTAATAGTAGTTATATAATTTCACAATGTAATGTATCACTTGTATAACTGAATATATTTTTGAGGAGTAATGGGACTAGGAGGAAGATCAAATGATGGTATAATTAAAAGAAAATTGTTTCTTCCAGATTCAGATGAAGAGATATTTGTAAGTAAGAAGTTGAAAAACAGGAAGGTTCTACAAGACAGTGATTCCGAAACAGAGGACACAAATGCCTCTCCAGAGAAAACTACCTATGACAGTGCCGAGGAGGAAAATAAAGAGAATTTTTATGCTGGGAAAAATACAAAAGTCAAAAGGATTTACAAAACTCTGGCAGACAGTGATGAAAGTTACATGGAGAAGTCTTTGTATCAGGAAAATCTCGAAGCACAAGTGAAACCTTGCTTAGAGCTGAGTCTTCAGTCTGGAAACTCTACGGACTTTACCATTGACAGAAAGAGTTCCAAAAAGCACACAAATGATAAAGAAGGAACTGCAGGAAAAGCAAAAGTAAAATCGAAAAGAAGACTTGAGAAAGAGGAGAGAAAAATGGAAAAAATTAGACAGCTGAAAAAGAAGGAAACAAAAAACCAGGTACATTTTAAAGAATAATTTGCTATTGCTTGGGTAGGTTAACATTTTAGAAAAGGTTGCTGTTAGTACTCGAGGTTGCTTCTGCTTTCCAAATATTGCTTTGAATTGACTATTTTGTGTTGAGAATAATAGGGTATGTTATTTAAAACTAACTGGTCTTGGCCAGGTGCAGAGGTGCATACCTCTAATCCCAGCACTTTGGGAGGCTGAGGCCAGAGGGTCACTTAAGCCCAGGAGTTAAAGACCAGCCTAGGCAATAGAGTGAGATCCCGTCTCTACAAAAAACTTAAAAATTAGTTGGGTGTGGTGGCCGTAGTCCCAGCTGTAGTCTCAGCTACTTGAGAGGGTGAGGTGGGAGAATCACTTGAGCCCAGGAGGTCGAGGCTGCAATAAGCTGTAATTGTACCACTGCATTCCAGCGGGGATGACAGAGTGAGACCCTGTCTCAAAAAAACAAAACAAAACAAAACAAAAAAATAAAACTTATTGGTCTTATTCTATTTTGGGTATGCAGAGGACATTTCCAAATAAATGGGTTTCTTATTTTCTTTATGAGCACATGGAGTAATTCTTTGCTGTCTCTGAGCTGATGAATATTAACTGAAAGAAGGCTTTTTAATGCATCTGTCAGTCAGAAGTCTTGTTTGCTAACTAGAAAAACCATCCTCAGATTTATAAACTAGTTGCTTAACAAGTATTTGACTTTTCAAAAAAAATTTACTGCTTATTAAGTTAGTTTTAGACAGTTGCATAAAATCACAACTTGGACTTCAAAGGATAAGTGTGAGTTAGGAACCAGTGAGAATGTTCTAGATTTTATATGCTTGTCTGTTGATGAAACATGGGCTTTTTCTGGCCTGATCCAAATTGCCATATGATGTTGTGAAATACTGGATTTTTAAATGATTGGATTATGCTTTTTGTTTATGTATTATCTAGGAAGATGATGTAGAACAGCCATTTAATGACAGTGGCTGTCTTATTATGGATAAAGACCTTTTTGAAACTGGGTTGGAGGATGAAAATAACTCTCCATTGGAAGATGAAGAGTCAATAGAATCAATAAGAGCAGCTGTAAAAAACAAAGTAAAAAAGCACAAGGCAAGTAAAACATGATTGCAGTAAGAGTTAACCAACTGCCTCTGACCTTTGCTATATTTTTAATTTACTGTTGGAACCTTAATTTTTTCTTTTTTTAACTGAAGAAAAACGTGTCAATTGACTTAAGTTTTCAGCTGTTAATTTTGGAGACTTGCAGTACAAGTGATAGACGTGCTAACTTATTTGGAAACTAGTTCTTTGTTATTACCCTTTTAGGAATGCTGAAAAAAAAGACTAAGATACTTGACAGTGTAGTAAGATGCAGGTAAATAATAGGGAAGAGATGTAAATTTTGAGTCCTATAGCCTTTGAGAAATGAACCCTATAGCGTTTCAGGAAGGGTATCAAAGAGAGGCATCAGTCAAAACATTGTTGTCCTGAGTATTTGGAAGCATAATTTTTCTTCCTAAGATTTTTTTTTTAGCTTCCTGCGAGTTATTATCCCTCTTTAGGGAAAGATGTAAGCAGAGGTAAAAGAAATGAGGGTCCAAACTCCATTTGAGGTATCTAATTTGTTTTCTAAGCATAATAGGATGCTGTGTGTTTAATAATTTCTATTCGATGATTATTGATTTATTAATGTAGCATGATGTGGTGTTGGACGACAAAAGTAGACTTCAACTAAATCATCCTCTTATTTGAATTTTGTTTTTGTCCTAATAATCAACATGCCATTTCTTTTAGAAAACAGAACCATCTTTGGAGAGTGAGGTCTATTCATTTGAGGAAGAAAGTGAGTTATCAAAAGGAACCACGAGGAAGGTGAGGTAGAGCCCTGTATATTAGTCACATTGATCTCTTTACACAGGAGTTTATGGATTGCTTAGGAATAAATATTTTATTTTGTCTATTATATTTTTCTGTTACCCATCATATTGCTTTGTACATAGTAGGAACAAAATATGGATTGGATTGAACGAATTCTCTGAGACTCAAATGTATTCTCTAAGACTTTAAATGAATTCCTTGAGTATACACTGCATTTGGCTTACTATTTCCTTTCCTCTTTTCTTGGAGAGAACAAACTCTTGAGGGATGAATATCTATCTTTCTGGATATTCATGTAATTAATGTAGTCTCACTTTTTGTTTTCTTTAAGGAAAGAAAGGCAGCCAAATTAAGTAAAGAAGCATTAAAACAACTGCATAGTGAGACTCAGCGCCTTATTCGAGGTAATGCAACCCAGTAAACTTTGAGGCAAAATCACAATGTTTCTTGGTAAGCTCAACTTGGATGTTGAGGACTTTTATTTGTTTAACACTTCTAATGTGAACTCAGGTTATAATATCAAGTTTAGAATTTATCTTGGTGAAAGGCCATTGTTCTAAAGTCCTTGGAACCATTAGTATAAACTGAAGAAATTTTCAGAATTGTGATGCGGGTAAGGAAGAAATTTAATGGTTGTCTGTGGACTGATTCTGTTAGGATTCTTTGGAGAGGTAGTAGTCCCTCTTTATTTGCAGTTTTGGTTACCCGTGGTCAGCCATGGTCCATGGAATTTAAAAAAAAATCCCTTTGTCCAGTGTATCACACTGTATACGTTACCTGCCTGTTAGTCAGTTAGTAGCCCTCTCAGTTATCAGATGAAAAAAACACTGCATGGTTTAGTACTATCTGCAGTTTCAGGCATCCACTGCAGGTGTTGGAATGTATCCCTGTGGATAAGCAGGGACTACTGTATATAAATTTTTAGGCCCCACAGAGATTCTGATTCAGTAGGTTTGAAATGGGATCCAAGAATCTGTATTTCTAAAAAACTTCCTGGATCATTTTGATTTCACATCTAGGTTTAAAAGCCATTGGTCTTCAGGGAACTCTTCTGTACTTAGCTCCTCTGCCTTTGTTAAAGGGGAGTTTTCTATTTCTAGTGATGGCGTTGGTTATTATGTTTGGTTAACTGAATATGAAGTGACATTTCAGAATATGCAGTATATATATTTGCTTGTTTTATTCTGTTTTATAGAGTCTGCACTTAACCTTCCATATCATATGCCTGAGAATAAAACCATTCACGATTTCTTCAAACGTAAACCCCGGCCCACTTGCCAGGGAAATGCCATGGCACTATTGAAGTAAGAACACTCTTATTATTATATTAAATTATTATTATTATTTTCATGAACATTTAGTTTTGTAGCAAACATCTGGCATAAAAAGTTCAGATTTCTCACTCCCTTAAAACTGATTTAACTGATGTATACTAAGGGATGAGAATGTTTCACATTTAGGATAATTTTCAACTCCAGCTCATTTTCTCTTCTCTAGGTCATCTAAATATCAGTCAAGCCATCACAAAGAAATCACAGACACTGCAAATACCACTGAAATGAACAGTTATCACCACAGTAAAGGTTCTGAGCAGACAACGGGTGCAGAAAATGAAGTGGAAATTAATGCACTCCCTGTGGTTTCAAAGGAAACCCAGATCATTACTGGATCAGATGAGTCTTCCGGGAAGGATTTGGTAAAAAATGAAGAGCTAGAAATTCAGGAGAAACAGAAGCAGAGTGACATTAGACCTTCACCTGGGGACAGCTCGGTGGTGCAACAGGAATCCAACTTCCTTGGGAACAATCACAGTGAGGAATGTCAGGTTGGAGGGCTTGTAGCATTTGAACCTCATGCCCTGGAGGGTGAAGACCCCCAAAATCCAGAAGAAACAGATGAGAAAGTGGAAGAGCCTGGGCAGCAAAATAAATCATCAGCAGTTGTGCCACCTGAAAAAGTGAGAAGGTTTACTCTGGATAGACTTAAGCAACTGGGAGTAGATGTTTCCATTAAACCACGGCTAGGTGCTGATGAAGATTCCTTTGTGATACTTGATGAACCTGAAACCAACAGAGGTAATCCTTTAAATTGTGGGGAGTCTCCCTGGTGTGATTATCCTGGTAGCTTTTGATTATTGACCACTGTCGAGGAGAGAGAACATAGGAGAAACCAATAACCACATGTGATCTTATCCTGCAGTTGTTCCAGATATGGGCAGAATCCCTTTTAGAGAAATTTGGCAGGGTATCAGAATGATCTAAGCCATGTTTAAAATGAAAGTCTGTTGGCCAGGTGTAGTGGCTAACGCCTGTAATCCCAGCACTTTGGGAGGCTAAGGTGGGCAGATCACGAGGTCAGGAGTTTGAGACCAGCCTGGCCAATATAGTGAAACCTGTCTGTACTAAAAATACAAAAATTAGCCCGGCATGGTGGCATGCATCTGTAGTCCTAGCTACTTGGGAGGCTGGGGCAGGAGAATTACTTGAACCCAGGAGGCAGAGGTTGCAGTGAGCCGAGACTGCACTATTGCACTCCAGCCTGGGTGACAGAGCGAGACTCTCTCAAAAAAAAAAAAACAAAAAAAAAAACTTGTTGATAGTTAATATAAAAATGAGGTACATTGCTATTGTGTTATGGTATTTAGGAATTTATTATTTCTGCCTTTCCAATCTGAAATTAAGTTTTTTCTATAATCCTGAGTCAAATCTTTTTTTTTTTTTTTTTTCCTGAGACGGAGTCTCCCTCTGTCGCCCAAGCTGGAGTGCAGTGGTGCGATCTTGGCTCACTGCAAGCTTCGCCTCTTAGGTTCACACTATCTCCTGCCTCAGCCTCCCTACTAGCTGGGACTACAGGCGCCCGCCACTACGCCCGGCTAATTTTCTGTATTTTTTAGTAGAGATGGGGTTTCCACTGTGTTAGCCAGGATAGTCTCGATCTCCTGACCTCATGATCCGCCCGCCTCGGCCTCCCAGAGTGCTGGGATTACAGGCGTGAGCCACCGCGCCTGGCCTGAGTCAAATCTTAAGACATTGATGAAAACATCGTTTAATATTTTACTGCTAAAGAGAAACATTTTGGTTCACTTAAATTATCTGTGAAACTGAATTTCTTTTGTTTTCACTCATTCAACGAATATTAAAGTATCTACTATGAGTAAGTTGCTATGGGGCATACCAAGATAAATCTGATATTTAAGGTATACTTAAGATGCTTTTACTCTAATGGGGGAGATAAGAAGTATGCAAATAACAAGTACAAAGGAGAAAATGGTAAATGATGTCTTTGATAATGAATATGTCATTGATAATTGGAAAATAAATAACATGAAAAAGGAAAAGTATTATTTTCTTAAAGAACATTTAGAATAAAATACTGTAGGAATTCAGAGAGGGATAAATTTCTTCCAGTGAATGGTTAGAGGACAGCTTGAAGAATAGGTGGATGTAATTACTTGTTCACTGCCTTCCCTTTATACTGTGAGTTGGGATCTCCTGCCTTGTTCCCTACTCTATCCCTAGTGCTTCCTCAGTGGATGACACGTTGTAGGCACTTGTATTTATCAAATGAATGAATGATCTCTCAACACTGAACTCAAGTATTACCACGTTGAATAAATTTCCTGACTCTTAGATAGAGTTGGATGCTCCCCACTCTGCCTTGAGGCAGTATGGCATGGTGGTTAAGAGCTTAGACTTTGTGGCCAGACGCGGTGGCTCACGCCTGTAATCCCAGCACTTTGGGAGGCCTAGGCGGGTAGATCACGAGGTCAGGAGATCGAGACCATCCTGGCTAACACAGTGAAACCCCGTCTCTACTAAAAATACAAAAAATTAGCTGGGTGCGGTGGCGGGCGCCTGTAGTCCGAGCTACTCAGGAGGCTGAGGCAGGAGAATGGCATGAACCCGGGAGGCCGAGTTCGCAGTGAGCCGAGATTGCACCACTGCACTCTAGCCTGGGTGATACAGTGAGACTCCATCTCAAAAAAAAAAAAAAAAGAGCTTAGACTTTGTAGCAAGACCAGGATTTGAATCTGGACTATCATAGTAATTGTTTAACATTGTATATGCCATTTGACCTCTTCAAGCATCTTTTTTTTAAAAAAGATAAGAAAACCAGGCACAGTGGTGTGCACCTGTAGTTCCAGCTACTGGGGAGGCTGAGGCACAAGAGGGTCACTTGAGCCCAGGAGTTTAAGGCCATCCTGGGCAGCATATGAAATCCCGTCTCAAAAAAAAAAAAAAGAAAGAAAGAAAAAAGCACTTTATGGCTTATGGGCTATGGTGAAGATGTGTTGAAATAATGCATGCAAATGGATAGTTTAAAGAAGCACTCAAAAAGTTGTTGCTGCTTCTACTATTATCAGTGAAATAGTTCACATCAAGACTTTTTTTTTTTGAGACAGACTTTCACTTGTTCTTGTCACCCAGACTGGAGTGCAATGCTGCGATCTCAGCTCACTGCAACCTCCACCTCCTGGGTTCAAGCAATTCTCCTGCCTCAGCCTCTCAAGTAGCTGGGATTACAGGTGTCCGCCACCACACCCAGCTAATTTTTGTATTTTTAGTAGAGATGGGGTTTCACCATGTTGGCCAGGCTAGTCTTGAACTCCTGACCTTAGGTGATCTGCCTGCCTTGACGTCCCTAAGTGCTGGGATTACAGGTGTGAGCCACTACACTCGATCAAGACTCTTTCATTAAACCGGGCACAGTCAGTGGCTTATGCCTGTAATTCTAGCACTTTAGGAGGCGGAGGTGGGAGGATTGTATGAGCCTGGGGGGTCAAAGCTGCAGTGAGTTGTGAGCTGAAATTGCACTACTGCACTCTAGTCTGGGAGACAGAACGAGACCCTGTCTCATAAAAACACACACACACACACAAAATTATCTTTCATTAAACAGCTTATTGTTGGCAGGTGCTATGTCAGCCACTATATCTGGTGTGTAAAATATGCTCAGTGAGTCTGTTAATTGAATGAGTTGACTTTGGAGATGGAGAGGATAGAAAGAGCACCTTGTCTCATTAAAAAAACACACCCACACACACACAAAAAGATTCTCTTTCATTAAACAGCTTATTGTTGGTAGGTGCTATGTTAGCCACTGTATCTGGTGTGTGAAATATGCTCGGTGAGTTTGATAACTGAATGGGTTGACTTTGGAGATGAGGAGAAGGATAGAAAGAGCTCTGCATGGTAGTGCGTATTGGGAAGATGTGAAAGTCAGTTTGACCAGCGCTGGAGGTTGAGGTGGCAGAGTTGTGTAACAGAACTAGCACAGCTCCATTAGCAAAGAAGCATGAGAATAAGCTGTTGTCTGGAACACTGAGGGAAAGTTTCTGTTCTATGGGACTAAAAGTTACCTAAACAGTCCTAGACTGATAGGAAAGGGAGAAACGTTTTTTGAGTACCAACTATATTAGACACTGGTACATTCTTTGTTAGTTGTCTTTCTTAATTTTCATAGCACGAGGTATTATTTTGCAAAATGAAGAGACTGAGGCTCAGAGAGGTTAGGTAATTTTTCCAGCATTATACTTGGCTTATAAAGGGACCTACATAGTGGCTGGCATATGGTGAGCACTTACTTTTTAACTTGGAACATGTTTTCCTTTAGAAATAATTGACATGAAATTTGGGTTTCCAGACCAGCCATAATATACATGAAGTTAGAATCAACATTCATTCATTCATGCAATAAATTGTATTTAGCACTGTGTTTGGTGCTGTGTATACACGTAAAACACTCCCTGCTCTTAAAGAAATTAAAGTATAATAGGAGTGATAGGCAGGCAAACAGACCATTACAATACTGGATGGTAAGTGCTGTGATCAAGGTATGTAATTGAGGGTGCATTGGGAACCTAGAGGAAGGGTACATTACTTGGAGCCTAGAAGTCAAGGAAGTTTCTGAAAGGAGCTCAGTAGAGATACCAAGGCAGAGAGGTGAGGGAGGACTTTTTTGGTGGAGAGGTTGGACCTGCAGATGTCAGAGACAATAGAAAGCACAGGGTGTTCTACCTGGCTGAAGTGAAGATAGCAAGGACATTGGTGATCATTGCCCAGATCATTCAGGGTTTTTATGCCATGCTAGGAGCTTGGACTTTAGCTCTTTGTAAGTAGAGGACCATTGAAACATTTTCAGCAAAGGAAATGTTCAATCAGATACTCACTTTAGGAAGTTAAATCTGGTACCTGGTGTGGTGGATGCATTGGAAGGGGTTAAGAGTAAAAACAGTGGGAACAGCTCAGTTTCCTTACCTCATATGGGATAAGGTTTCCATGAAAAAATGCATGTAAATTTAAATTTTGTGATGTCAGAAATACATTACTTCTGTTGCTTGCAATAGCATATGGAATAATCCCTGCCTCTAATTCTACTTTCTGGACAAGAGTAATGTGAATGAGAACAGTTCTCATGCTGACTGCTATTTTAAGTCCCAGGTAATCTTCCCACCCAACCATTTCTCTTGCTCTAGTGGCATCAATAATAACCTGCCTATTTCTGTTCCCTTTTCCCTGCCACTACCTGTTGCTTTTAGCTTTACTGAACCACTGCAAAATAGGAGGCAGACTTATAGCTTGTCTCTCTACTCTTTTGTTTGCAATGTAAACATAGCATCCTTTAGAGTTGGGTTTTTGCTGCTAATAATGTTGGGGGCTCAAGATAAAAAGATTTCCTTCATTTTTCTCTTTTTCTAGTAAGACCATCTAGGGGAAAAAAAACACACATCTAGATGCTAGTCACAAAAATACTGAAGTATGATTTGAGTGCATTTTAGAAAATTAACCAAAGTTTCATGCCTATAGTCCCAGCACTTTGGGAGACTAAGGTGGGAAGATCGCTTTGAGGCCAGGCGTTTGAGAACAGCTTGGGCAACATAGCGAGTTCCTGTCTTTACAAAAATAAAAAACCCAGATGTGGTGACATGCACCTGTAGTCCTAGCTACTTGGGAGGGTGAGGTAGAAGGAATGCTTAAACCCAGGAGGTCAAGGTTGCAGTGAGCTGTGATCGCACACCACTGCACTCCAGCCTGAGCAACAGAGCAAGACCCTGTCTCTAAAAAGAAGAATGAAAAGTGGCCGGGCACAGTGGCTCACACCTGTAACCCTAGCACTTTGGGAGGCTGAGGAGGGTGGATCACTTCAGTCCAGGAGTTCAAGACCAGCCTGGACAACATGGCAAAACCCATCTCTACAAAAAATACAAAAATTGGCCAGGTGCAGTGGCTCACTCCTATAATCCCAGCACTTTGGGAGGCCGAGGTGGGCGGATCATCTGAAGTCAGGAGTTCAAGACCAGCCGGGCCAACATGGCGAAACCCCATCTGTACTAAAAATAAAAGTAAAAAATTAGCTGGGTGTTGTGGTGCACGCCTGTAATCCCAGCTTCTAGAGAGGCTGAGGCAGGAGAATTGGTTGAACCCAGGAGATGGAGGTTACAGTGAGCTGAGATCGTGCCACTGCACTTTGGCCTGGGCAACAGAGTGAGACTCCGTCTCAAAAAAAAAAAAAAAAAAAGTTAGCTAGGGGTGGTGGTACATGCCTATAGTCCTGGCTACTCTCAGGAGGTTGAGGTGAGAGGATCACCTCTAAGCTTGGAGAGATTGAGGCTACAGTGAGAGCCAAGGTTGCACCACTGCACTCCAGCCTGGGCGACAGAACAAGACTCCATTTAAAAATAAATGATTTTATCATGGACGAGAAGGCCACCTGAAAATATCCAGTGTGCATCAACTCCAAAGGAACTTTCTACTTGTAACTGCCAGCTATCATCACAGATTCCATTACTATATGAAGTGTTAAGCAGAGAGGTAACAGCTGACTGAGGGAGAAAGAAGGAAATTCTAAGATATTGCAGTGGGGAAGAGGGGTAAATTTATATCACTGTTGGATTGCTAAACTTACTGTTCCCAGTATATATATATGCCCGTTTGTATACAAGTTGAGCATGTGGTACTGGGGCTACAGTATTTCCTTTCTCATTGTACCAATTGTACTAGTGTAACAGTTTTCACCAAAAAACTTATTACTGTCGTGCTGCTTAATTGTATCACTGACTGGATTATCATTTTATTTTCCCTTCTTTAAAAAAATTGACCTTGCCGAGACGGGTGGATCACGAGGTCAGGAGATCGAGACCATCCTGGCTAACACGGTGAAACCCCGTCTCTACTAAAAAATACAAAAAACTAGCCAGGCGAGGTGGCGGGCACCTGTAGTCCCAGCTACTCGGGAGGCTGAGGCAGGAGAATGGCGTGAACCTGGGAGGCGGAGCTTGCAGTGAGCTGAGATCTGGCCACTGCACTCCAGCCTGGGCGACAGAGCGAGAGACTCCGTCTCAAAAAAAAAAAAAAAAAAAAAATTGACTTTGCCTATATTTGGTAAGATTGCCAATAATGAAACGTTCAAAATAGGGAATTTGATCCCAGCACTTTGGGAGGCCAAGGTGGGCTGATCATTTGAGGTCAGGAGTTTGAGACCAGCCTGGCTAACACAGTGAAACTCCGTCTCTACTAAAAATACAAAAAATTAGCCGGGCATGGTGGCGGGCACCTGTAGTCCCAGCTACTCGGGAAGTTGAGGCAGGAGAATGGCGTGAACCCGGGAGGCGGAGCTTGCAGTGAGCTGAGATTGCGCCACTGCACTCCAGCCTGGGCAACAGAGCTAGACTCCATCTCAAAAAAAAAAAAAAAGGTCAAATTAGCCAGTCTGTTGGCACAGGCCTATAGTCACAGCTTCTCCAGAGGCTGAGGCAGGAGGATCTATTGAGCCCAGGGGTCAAGGCTGCAGTGAGCTGTGATGGTGCCACTGCACCCCAGCTTGAGTAACATAGCAAGGTCCTGGCTCAAAAAAAATTTAAAAAAATAAAAAAGCAAGAGCCGTTTTTAGCTTGTGGATAATACAAAAACAGGCTACCAGCTAGAATTTGGCCTGTGAGCTACAGCTTGCTGACCCTTGTTTTAGAAGCTGAGCTCAGACAACAAAAATGAAACTTTTCGGCTACTATGAAGTAACAGAGACTGGATTTACCTTCCTGCCTTAAACAACTAAAAGGTCAGACAAAATATATGAAGTAAGTTTTTCGGGCATTTAACAGGCAAAATAGAACAGTAAGCTCTGAGAGAAGAGAAACAAGTGAGGTGAGTCCTATCATTGCCCCAGCTTACCTTCTGAAGAGTTTCCAGGCCACAACGCATACAGAGTGAACCTAAGTGGAGCCTGGCAATCTCCCAAAGTTGAGGAGATCACACCACTGCATTCCAGACTGGGAGACGGCGAGACTCCGTCTCCAAAAAAAAAAAAATTAGCTGGGCATGGTGGTGCTCATCTGTAATCTCAGCTACTCAAGAGACTGAGGTAGGAGAATCACTTGAACCCAGGAGATGGAGGTTGCAGTGAGCTGAGATCGCATCATTGCACTCCAGCCTGGGCAATAGAGTGAGACTCCGTCTCAAAACAAAAACAAAAAACAGCAATAACAAATAGGGAATTTTGAAAAGATGGAAACCCATGAAAAATTTAGCCCTTGAATAGATGAGATTATAATCTTTTTTCCTACCAGTTTAATACTTTTAGAGAATTTTTAAAGAATGTTCAAAAGAATTGCACATATTTAGAAATTTCAGGTATACATTTCTGTCTGATTTTTTAAAGTCTGATTTTTGAAACGTTGAGGAAGAATAGTTGTGGCAGTCCATTAGTTTGGGTTAAGTTGTATGAATTTGACTCAGGAGTTAATAGCAAGGGGTTTTTCGTTTCTCTGTGTGTGGTTTTCCTCATCATTGTTGAGCTAAAAAAAACTTAGCTTATAAGTCTTAAAGGAAAGAGTTTTGAACATGGCAAACTGACACACTGGTTGGCGTTTGGGTTTAGAACTGGAAGCCTTGAAGCAGCGTTTCTGGAAGCATGCTAATCCAGCAGCCAAACCCAGGGCTGGTCACACAGTGAATGTGAACGTCATAGTGAAAGACGTGGGCACTGATGGAAAGGAAGAGCTAAAAGCAGATGTGGTACCTGTGACTTTAGCACCTAAGAAGTTGGATGGAGCAAGCCACACAAAACCAGGTATTTGAGCCCACAGGTTTTGTTTTTTGCTTTTTGCTTTGTATTCTAACAGATCTTCAAGGCTATTGAAAACCTTATAATGAAAAGTTGTAGAATCTTTTTCCTTGGAGACTTTGGACAGCAGTATCTCTGGCATGATTCACGTGTAGCACACCTAGAGGTGTGGGGTGGACAAGCTGGCTTTATTTTTTAAAAATTATCATTTGTCTTATTATAAAAAACAAATATCTATTATAGAAAAATATATAGAATAAATGAAAAATTTAATCTTCTATCAGAGACAGGTTCTATAACCATATTGTGTATCCTTTTAAACTCTCTTCTTTGCACATATGTATATGTATTTAAACAAAAACAGGGCCAGGTGCAGTGGCACAGGCCTGTAATCCTAGCACTTTGGAAGGCCAAGGCAGAAGGATCTCTTGAGCTCTGGAGTTGGAGACCAGCCTGGGCAACATAGTGAGCCCTAATCTCTACCAAAAAAAAACTTATCCAGGTATGGTGGCATGCACTGTGGCCCCATATACTTGGGAGGCTGAGACAGGAAGATCATTTGAGCCAGGAGGTTGAGGTTGCAATGAGTCATGATTGTGGCACTGCACTCCAGCCTAGGCGAGAGAGTGAGACCCTGTCTCAAAACAAAACAACCCACCTAATAATGTGATCATAACATGCATTCTGCTTTGTGTTTTAGAAATGTATTAAGGACAGCTCTCACCGCCCCCCCCACTTGAAATCACGAGTAATATATCACTTGGAAAACAGTTTTAAACATTGAAAAAAGCTATCAAATGAAAAATTAGTCTTCCCAAAGATAACTATTAACAATTTCTTCTATGTCCTTATAGGAGTATTTTTATCCATATACCATTTTTTGTGAATGTGTGTGACATTGAACATTTACTCCCTGTCAGGCATTGCTCTAGGTTCTTTATATGTTTTATCTCATTTAATCCTTACAACCCTATGAGGTAAATAACATTAGTATCCTTATTTTGTATGTGAAGAAACTGATATGCAGAGCACTTAAGCCACTTGCTCAAGTTCACATAGCTAATAAATGGTAAGACCAGTGGTCTAATCCAGACCACCTAACTCCAGAGCTCAGGATCTACTTTATATTGCTTTTGAGGCTTTTTTTTTTTAATTTTAATAAAGAGTCTTGCACTGTTGCCCTGGCTGGAGTGCAGTGGCACAATCTTAGCTCGCTGTAACCTCCACCTCCTGGGTTGAAGCAATTCTCCTGCCTCAGCCTCCCGAATAGCTGGGATTACAGGTTCCCACCACCACGCCTAGCTAATTTTTGTATTGTTAGTAGAGATGGGGTTTCACTATGTTGGCCAGGCTGGTCTCGAACTTCTGCCCTCGTGATCCACCCGCCTTGGCCCCCCAAAGTGCTGGGATTACAGGCATGAGCCACTGCGCCCGGCCTTGAGGCTTTTTTTAAAATGACTGCATAATATTCCATTGAATGAATACAACATGACTCATTAAACCATACTCTTATTGACTGATGTCTTGTTTGTTCCAGTTGTTGCTGTTGCATACAGTGTTATATTATATTATAGTGCCAGATATATGGTGGTATATTAGATGCAAAATTCCTTGCAGTGGAATTGTCATGATATATATCACATTTTGATATATATCATCCAGTTGTCTTTCAGAATGGTTGTACCACTCTGAATCACAGTGTATGAGTTCCTGTTTCCTCTCAATAATAGGTATTATCAAACCTCCTAATTTTTGCCAAACTAACATGTTGAAAATGTATCTCATTATTTTGATTTGTAGCTCTTTAATTAGAAGTGAGGTTAAGCATTACTTTTAATTTGTTTATTAACAATGTATTTTTATTTTTCTGTGAACTGGCAGTTCATATCATTAGCTCATTTTACTTTTGAGTTGTTTCTCTTTTTTTCTTTCTTTTTTTTTTGAGACGGAGTCTCACTCTGTTGCCCAGGCTGGAGTGCAGTGGTGTGATCTCGGCTCACTGCAAGCTCCACCTCCTGGGTTCACTCCATTCTCCTGCCTCAGCCTTCCGAGTAGCTGGGACTACAGGTGCCTGCCACCATGCGTGGCTAATTTTTTGTATTTTTAGTGGAGACGGGGTTTCACTGTGTTAGCCAGAATGGTCTTGATCTCCTGACCTTGTGATCCGCCCGCCTCAGCTTCCCAAAGTGCTGGGATTACAGGAGTGAGCCAGCATGCATGGCCTATTTTTCTTTAATATAGGTAAATTTATCAATGTTTTTCTTCATGGCTTTTGAGCCACAGACTTTTGAAGCTCTACTCCCTACCCCCCTTTTCTCTCTTTTGAACAATTATTTTATAATCCCTGAGGAGTATACTATCCAGGGTGCAGAAATTCTCTTTGATACTTCAATTAATAATAATACTCTTGTGTTCAAATAACAAAAAGGCCCAGAAATACTAGAGTCTCAGATTTTCCTTTTGGGATGTGACTAGAATACTTCTGGAGTTACCTAAAATGCATACATAATTATTGTATTATGTCTAAAGCATTTCTACATATTTCTGTTCAGGTGAAAAGCTTCAGGTGCTAAAAGCTAAACTGCAAGAGGCAATGAAACTCCGAAGGTTTGAGGAGCGCCAGAAGCGCCAAGCACTGTTTAAATTAGATAATGAAGATGGATTTGAGGAAGAGGAGGAGGAAGAGGAAGAAATGACAGATGAGTCTGAGGAAGATGGAGAAGAGGAGGTAGTGAAAGAAGAGGAAGAAGAGGAAGAACTGGAGGAAGAGGAGGAGAAAGAAGAGGAAGAGGAAGAAGATGGAAATCAGGAGGTTTCTGGCAATTATGTTGTTTTGTTACCTTGTCATGGTGAATATGAGAGAAAAAGTCAGACTTATATCAGAGTATAATAAGCATGTTCAATTGTATAAGAGGTTTTTAAGGGCATGGTAAGGGTAACTACCCCACATATCCCTAAATCTTAGTATCTTCAGTTCTGTCAGTACCATTGAATATCCGTAGATCATCATTATGTATCTGAATACAGATATTCAGTGGTACTGACAGAATACCATTGCCTGGGCTTCCACCTGTTTGTTTATATATTTTAATATAATAATGCTAATATTAAAAATGGCTTTGTATTTGTAGGAAATTTTATGTTTGTTGTTTATTTAGGTTTCTCTATCAGATTAAAAAGCAGTCCTAACCTTGGCTAGATCGAGGTCTGGAGTAAATTCTCAGGGAGGCAGAGGCCTTTCTGAGTTATTTTCATTTTTTGTTGAAGAAGGCATTTGTAGAGGGACCTCTTGCCCTTGTTCCATAGTATTGTTTTCTGCCTAGGGAAAACAGGTGATGATACGATTGTTAAGTATTAAAAAGCTTTCCTTTTTGGGCCGGGCAGGGTGGCTTATGCCTGTAATCCTAGCACTTTGGGAGGCTGAGGTGGGCGGATCACCTGAGGTCAGGAGTTTGAGAACAGCCTAGCCAACATTGTAAAACTCCATCCCTACTAAAAATACAAAGATTAGCTGTGTGTGGTGGCACACCTGTAATCCCAGCTACTCAGGCAGGAGAATTGCTTGAACTCGGGCAGTAGAGGTTGCAGTGAGCCAAGATTGCGCCACTATACTCTAGCCTGAGTGACAGAGTGAGACTCCATCTCAAAAAAAGAAAAGAAAAAAGCTTTCCTTTTTGTATGCTGGGATCACTTATTTTATTTTATTTATTTAAAGTTTTTTGAGATGAGGGTCTCACTATGTTGACCAGACTGGTCTCGAACTCCTGGCTTCAAGTGATCCTCCCATCATTGTGGCCTCCCAAGGTGCTGGGATTACAGGCATGAGCCACCACGCCCAGAAACTTGAGTTAATATTTAGTTTTGGGTAAAGGAGAAAGAAAACAATGGCTGAGCTATACAGTCTGTCTCAGTCTGTGCTTGGTTTGAGATCAGTAGTCATCCTGCAATCTTAGACTGATTAATTAACCTCTTATTGCCTCAGTAAAATGATAATCCAGTCGTCCTTTATAATCTTAGCAATTTTGGGAGGGTAAAGGATAAAAAAAATACAAAAAAGTTCTAGAAGTGTCAGAGAAAATTATGTTGATAATGGTCATATGGAACTTCCTTCAAGTTTGCCTTTTTGAATTTAAGATGTTATCAGTAACCAATCAGCCATATTTCAAGCTAACATTGTATTTGCTTTTAAAGTTTTTGACTTGTATTATTTTGTTTTGTGGTGGCATGATTGGTAAAGACTGCAGAATTCCTTCTTAGTAGTGAAGAAATAGAAACCAAAGATGAAAAAGAAATGGATAAAGAAAATAATGATGGCAGTAGTGAAATTGGCAAGGCAGTTGGCTTCCTCTCTGTTCCCAAGTCTCTCTCATCAGATTCTACTTTACTTCTATTTAAGGACAGCTCTTCCAAGATGGGGTAAGTGATTCTCTCTAAGAAAATTTAAAATTGCCTTGGATTTGCCCCTCCTGTAAAAACTAGGAACAGATACTGAACCAATTTACTTTCTTATTTTACAGTTACTTTCCTATTGAAGAAAAATCAGAAACAGATGAAAACTCAGGCAAACAGCCTAGCAAACTGGGTAAGTAGTGATTCTTGTGCAGAACTTGACATTTCTTTTGTCCCTCAGCTTTGATATTTAAGGACTGCAGTACTGTAAGTTCCCATTTTTAAAAATCTGGTCACTTCCCAGTTTCATATGTGGCAATGAAAGGGGTTTATGAATTAGAATATTTTTCTTGGTCTATTTTTTGAAAACTTACTTGCAGTTTATTTATAGTAGACCGTGGCACATAATGGCCTTAGTGAATGTGTGTTGATTGAGTGAGCAATGAAATATTTCTATATGTAGATCAAAGGAAGATGTATAATTGATTGGATAGGCTGGGCGCGGTGGCTCATGCCTGTAATCTCAGCACTTTGGGAGGCTCAGGTGGGCGGATCACGAGGTCAGGAGATTAAGACCATCCTGGCTAACATGGTGAAACCCCATCTCTACTAAAAATACAAAAAATTAGCCAGGCATGGTGGTAGGCGCCTGTAGTCCCCAGCTACTTGGGAGACTGAGGCAGGAGAATGGCGTGAACCCAGGAGGCAGAGCTTGCAGTGATACGAGATCGTGCCACTGCACTGCAGCCTGGGCAACAGCGAGACTCCGTCTCAAAAAAAAAAAAAAAATAATAATAATAATAATTAATTGGATAATGAAGAGTGTGATCATAGGCATTAGGAAGGATAAGAGAAAGAAGAGAACTTTCTGCTGGGCGCAGTGGCTCACGCCTGTAATCCCAGCACTTTGGGAGGCTGAGGCAGGCGGATCATGAGGTCAGGAGATCGAGACCAGCCTGGCTAACATGGTGAAACCCTGTCTCTACTAAAAATACAAAAAATTAGCCAGGTGTGGTGGCATGCGCCTGTAGTCCCAGCTACTTGGGAGGCTGAGGCAGGAGAATCACTTGAACCCAGGAGGCAGAGGTTGCAGTGAGCCGAATTCGCGCCACTGCACTCCATCTGGGGCGACAGAGCGAGACTCCATCTCAAAAAAAAAAAAAGAACTTTCAAGTGTCACTTAGCTCAGAGTAATAAGCCCTGATTATATAATGCTATCTTAGTACTGTAATTTACCTTTAACTTAATGTTTTGGAACATATAACTTGAGGGGTTTGCCTATGAATTTTATCTGACAGTTTCATCCTCAACTCTTTTTCCTAAACAAATCCACCTTATTTCTGTAATCATGGACTTAAAAGGTGTTTCTCTTTCTTCAGATGAGGATGATTCATGTTCATTGCTAACGAAGGAGAGCAGCCACAATAGCAGCTTTGAGCTGATTGGCTCCACGATTCCATCCTATCAGCCTTGCAACAGACAAACAGGCCGTGGGACCAGTTTTTTCCCTACAGCAGGAGGATTCAGATCTCCTTCCCCTGGGCTATTTCGAGGCAGTTTGGTCAGCTCAGCTTCTAAGGTAAGATGGTAATGGTTTTTCTAATCTCCTCCTCTCTTTGCTTCCCACATTGCTAAATAAAGTTTGTCCCAGCCAACCAACTCCCACCACTTTGGTACTGAGCTTATGTGTGTTCAGTTTAAAAAATCCACCCCCTTTGTGTATTAAAAACAAGCTTCATCCAGTATTCTTACTTTCTTGGAGGTATTTTTCTTTATGCTTCTCATGGCTGTGTATTGTCCTCCTCAATTGCAGTTTCCTGAGAGTAGCTTAAATATTGCAAATAGCAACTTCTGTTGTTGTCATGACAATGAATGACACTTGTAAAATGTTTTGTTATTGTTTGTTTTTGTTTGGGTGCCAGAGTTCAGGGAAACTGTCTGAGCCTTCACTTCCCATAGAGGATTCCCAGGATCTGTATAACGCCTCCCCAGAGCCTAAGACACTTTTCCTAGGAGCAGGAGACTTCCAGTTCTGTTTAGAAGATGACACTCAGAGCCAACTGTTGGATGCAGATGGGTAGGTAGTTTTGTGTTTCTGTGGGCGGGAATGGTTCTGGGTACTGCTTAATTTTGTTTAAAAATAAGTAAGCTTCTGTCACTCCATCTGTGCTTTCTCTTCTGAGAAAGAGAAGGTGTACAGACCATTAGTATTACATTCTATAAGTTTGAACAAAGTCTGTCCAGAAAATAAACATAAATAGCTCTTGCTAACATTCTGGTCCTTCAATTTCTGTCTTACTTGAAATGCATAGATCTTGTATTGTAAGGTCATCAAATTTCCCTGTATCCATCCTGCTATGTTATTATTGTTGGGTAAGGCTGAGAATTCACAGACTGGTGGCACATTACAGGACATAATGCCAAGCCCTGCTCTAACATCATCTGAAGCTAAAAGTTATCCTTTACACTTTACCTTCTGAGTAACATTTTATTCTTTCACAAAACTTTTCCCTCCCTCTTTAGATTAACACAAGCCTAAAGTTTGAATCTTTTGCTTTCTGATTTGAGATTCAGCTTTTAACTGGTGTTGGAAATGAATTCAGAGGTTTTTCACCCCCTACTTTGCCATTTCTCTGAGGAATTTTTTACACTATTCGTTGTGCTCATTGGCTCTTAGGTTCTTAAATGTTAGAAACCACAGGGATCAGTACCAAGCTTTGAAGACTCGATTGCCATTGGCCAGTATGGATGAGAATGCCATGGATGCCAACATGGATGAGCTGTTGGATTTGTGTACTGGAAAGTTTACATCTCAGACTGAAAAACATCTACCCAGGAAGAGTGACAAGAAAGAGAACATGGAGGAACTTCTGAACCTTTGTTCAGGAAAATTCACTTCTCAGGGTAAATATCCAACAGAGAGCATCAGGCTTACCACACTCAAGTATCAGTGTCCTTGAAAAGAATTCCCTGGGCGGGTGGGGTGGCTCACGCCTGTAATCCTAGAACTTTGGGAGGCTGAGTTGGATGGATCGCTTGAGCTCAGAAGTTTGAGACCAGCCTGGGCAACATGGCAAATCCCCATCTGTACGGAAAAAAAAAAAAAATTAGCTACGCATGGTGGCACGTGCCTGTGGTCCTAGCTACTTAGGAGGATCTCTTGAGCGTGGGAGGTGAAGGTTGCAGTGAGCCGAGATCACACCACTGCACTCCAGCCTGGGTGGCAGAGACCCTGCCTAAAAATAGAAAAAAAGAAAGAAAGAAAAGAAGCCCCTTAACCTCAGGTGAAAAGTTCACAGAAAACAGGACTGTGATGGAATCTATATAAATTGAATTCACTGCTTAGTGCCCTGACATTTAGAAATTGTACTTTCTTAGAGTGGTAAAGTATCAACTTAAGACTACTTTAGGCCATACACGGTGTCTCATGCCTGTAATCCCAGCACTTTGGGAGGCCAAGGCCAGTGGATTGCCTGAACTCAGGAGTTTGCGACCAGCCTGGGTAGCAAGGTGAAACCCTGTCTCTACTAAAATACAAAAAATTATCTGGGCGCAGTGGCCCGTGCCTGTAATCCCAGCTACTTGGGAGGCTGAGACAGAAGAATTGCTTGAACCCCAGAGGCGGAGGTTGCAGTGAGCTGAGATCATGCCACTGCACTCCAGCCTGGGCAACAGAGAGAGACTCTGTCTCAAAAAAAAAAGACTGCTTTAGCTTTGCCCATATGATATATCATTTATGATTAATGTATGTACAAAGTTTAGAACAATGTCTGATGTATAATAAATTTCACATAAATGTTAACTTACTTCCTGTCCCCTGCCCCCAACGCACACAACTGCTAGACTGAACATAAGCTCTATGAGATCTGGGATAGTGGTTTGTTCATTACTGTATCCCTGGTGGCCTGGCACATATGGCACATAGTAAGCACTAAATAAGGATTTGTTGAATGAATAGATGGTAGGTTCTTCTTGGCAAGCTTACCTTAGAACTGTATCGAGCTGGCATGACTTTAGATGGCTGGGAAAAGAGTATAAAGCTATCATTCCTTGGTGACACATTTTTTCCTTGTTGTGATGTAGATGCCTCCACTCCGGCCTCATCAGAGTTAAATAAGCAGGAGAAGGAGAGCAGCATGGGTGATCCAATGGAAGAAGCACTTGCTCTTTGCTCAGGCTCTTTTCCAACAGACAAGTAAGTCTCAGATTGCTGGGAACTTGGGAAGGCCTGGCCTTTTGATAAAATCAAAATAACTGATCATCTTAAGGGCTTTGCACCTTTTCTGAGAATCTTACAGTGGATTCGAGTCTCATATATGCCTAGTAAGCAAATTATAATGCTTTGGTGGAGAACAGGGTAAAAAAGGCAAGAATATGAAAGATATTTAATATCATTAATAGGGAAATGCCAATTAAAACCACAGTGAGACACCCATTAAGATGACTTTAATCAAAAAACCTAAAGAGTGTTAGTGAGAATGTGGAGAAATTGGAAACCTTGTGTACTATTGGTGAGAATGTAAAATAGTGCAGCTGCTAGGGAAAGTATGATGGCTTCTCAAAAATTAAAAATAGAGGCCAGGTGCGGTGGATCACCTGAGGTCAGGAGTTTGAGACCAGCCTGACCAACATGGTGAAACCCTGTCTCTACTAAATACAAAAAATTAGCTGGGCATGGTGGCACATGCCTGTAATCCCAGCTACTTGGGAGGCTGAAGCAAGAGAATTGCTAGAACCCGGGAGGCAGAGGTTGTAGTGAGCCAAGGTCATGCCATTGCACTCCAACCTAGATAATAAGAGCAAAACTGTGTCTCAAAATAAATAAATAAATAAATAAAATAAAAATAGAATGACCATATGATCCAGCAATTTCACTTCTTAGTCTATACCCCAAAAAAGTGAAAGCAGGACTTGAACAGATATTTGCACCCCCATGTTCAAAGCAGCATTATTCACAGTAAGTAGTCAAAACATGAAAGCAACCTATGTTTATTGACAGATGAATGGGTAAACAAAATGCGGTATATATATATGCAATGGAATATTCAACCTTAAAATGGAAATGCTGGCTGGGCATGGTGGCTCACACCTGTAATCCCAACACTTTGGGAGGCTGAGGTGGGTGTATCACTTGAGCTTAGGAGTTTGAGAGCAGCCTGGATAATATGGCAAAACCCCATCCCTATAACATGATTGTGCCACTGCACTCTGGGCATCAGAGCAAGACCCTGTCTCAAAAAAAAAGGAAGTTCTGACACTTGCTACAACATGGATGAACCTTAGGATGTTATACTAAAAGAAATAAGCCAGTCACCAAAAGACAAATACTGTATGAGTCCACTTACTCATGAGGTACTTAGAGCAGTCAAATACATAGAGACAGAAGGTAGAATGGTGGTTGCCACAGACTGAGGGTATGGGGAAATGGAGAGTTTAATGGGTATACAGTTTTAGTTTTGCAAGCCGAAAAGAGTTCTGGAGATTGCTTAACAATATGAATGTACTTAATACTACTGAACCATAGAAAGATCGTTAAAAAGGCACATTTTATGTGTATTTTACTACAATTGAAAATTAAAAAAATTTTCTTCCTGTTTCTTGAAGAGATTTTTGGTGATAATAGAAGTTTTAAATTTGGCCAGATGAGGTGTCTCATACCTAGAATCCCAGTACTTTGGGAGCCCAAGGCGAGCAGATTGCTTGAGCCCAGAATTCAAGACGAACCTGAGCAACATGGTGAAATCTGTCTCTACAGAAAATACAAAAATTAGCTGAGCATGGTGGCTTTGTACCTCTAGTCCCAGCTACTCAGGAGGCTGATGTGGGAGGATCACTTGAGCCCCGGAGGTGGAGGTTACAGTGAACTGAGATGGTGCCACTGTACTCCAGGTGGTGTAAGAGACCAAGACTGTCTCAGAGAAAAAAAAAAAAAATTACACAAAATTTTTTTAAATTCCTAACTTGGCTGACTACTTGTAGTTTGCTTTCAACAACTTATTTATTGATTCATTGATTTACATTTTAGGGAAGAGGAAGATGAGGAGGAGGAATTTGGAGACTTCCGGCTCATCTCAAATGATAATGAGTTTGATACTGATGAGGTGAGTATGAAGGGAACAAAGTAATCATAACTGAACTCCATGTATTGCTGCCCTCAAGTGTTTTTTTCCCCTCAGTTCTTGAGAATTCTAAATTTGGCATCTTATCAGAAACAATTTCGTAGAATGAGGTGTTTGGGCAGATGTTTATAAATCCTTTTTTCATGGAGGACACATTTTATTCTGCTTAATTTGGATATGATGCTGATTTTGTAGGATGAACACAGTGACTCTGGTAATGAAGACCTGGCACTGGAAGACCATGAAGATGATGATGAAGAAGAACTCCTGAATCGATCTGAGAAGTTGAAAAGGCAAATGTAGGTGTTATTAATATGTCCATTCCTTCAGGTGTATTTAAAAGTTGGTCACTAGGCCAGGCATGGTGGCTTGCGCCTGTAATCCCAGCACTTTGGGAGGCTGAGGCAGGCGGATCACCTGAGGTCAGCAGTTCAAGACCAGCCTGGCCAACATGGTGAAACCCTGTCTCTACTAAAAAATATAAAAATTAGCAAGATGTGATGGCAGGCGCCTGTAGTCCCAGCTACTCGGGAAGCTGAGGCAGAGAGAATTGCTTGAACCCAGGAGGCGGAGGTTGCAGTGAGCCGAGGTTGCACCACTGCATTTCAGCCTGGGTGACAGAGCAAGACTCTGTCTCAAAAAAAAAAAAAAAAATAGTTGATCCCTTAATATGTCCTGTGTGCTAATAACTGTGCTTTACAGTCATTAACATATTATCTTATGCTGGGTGCAGTGGCTCAGGCCTATAATCCCAGAACTTTGGGAGGCCAAGGCAGGCATATCACTTGAGGTCAGGAGTTTGAGACCAGCATGACCAACATGGTGAAACCCTCTCTACTAAAAATACAAAATACAAAATAAAATACAAAAATTAGCCAGGTATGGTTCCAGGCGCCTGTAGTGCCAGCTACTTGGGAGGCTGAGGCAGGAGAATTGCTTGAATCTGGGAGGCGGAGGTTACAGTGAGCTAAGATTGCCCCATTGCACTCCAGCCTGGGTAATACAGCAAGACTCCATCTCAAAAAAAAAAAAATTATGAGTGAGTACTATTCTCCTCATTTTACAGTTGAAGGAACTGAGCCTCAGAAAGACTAAATTTACCCAAGATCACATAGCTAGAAGGTAGCAGAGCCTGGATTCAACTTAGATTAGGTAAAATCTCCCCTAACAGTCAAGTTAATAGTTTGCCACATTTTTTTTTTTTTGAGACGGAGTCTTGCTCTGTTGCCCAGGCTGGAGCACAGTGGCGCGATCTCCACTCACTGCAAGCTTCGCCTCCCAGGTTCACACCATTCTCCTGCCTCAGCCTCCTACATAGTTGGGACTACAGGTGCCCGCCACCGCGCCCGGCTAATTTTTGTATTTTTAGTAGAGACGGGGTTTCACCGTGTTAGCCAGGATGGTCTCGATCTCCTGACCTCGTGATCCGCCCGTCTCGGCCTCCCAAAGTGCTGGGATTACAGGCGTGAGCCACCGCGCCCGGCCAGTTTGACACTTTTTAACTTAAATCCTCTTGCCTAAGCTTCCCAAGTAGCTGGGACTACAGGCATGTGCCACCACACCTGGCTAATTCTTTTTACTTTTTGTAGAGATGGGGCCTTGCTTTGTTCCCAGGCTGGTCTTAAACTCCTGGCCTCAAGTGATCCTCCTGCCTCAGCTTCCCAAAGTCTGGGATTACAGGCATGAGCCACCAGGCCCAGCCTTTTTTTTTTGAGACGGAGTCTTGCTCTCCAGGCTGGAGAGCAGTGGCATGATCTCGGCTCACTGCAACCTCAGCTTCCTGGGTTCAAGTGATTCTCCTGCCTCAGCCTCCTGAGTAGCTGAGCCTATAGGTGCGTGCCACCACACCCAGCTAATTTTTGTATATTTAGTAGAGACGGGGTTTCACTATGTTGGTCAGGATGGTCTCGATCTCTTTACCTCACAATCTGCCTGCCTTGGCCTCCCAAAGTGCTGGGATTACAGGCGTGAGCCACCCCACCCAGCCGGCCCAGCTTATTTTTTTGATATGTTGTTCTGGTCATGAAAGTAAAATATTTATTTTAGGATATTTAAAAGAATACAAACCAGGTGCGGTAGCCCACGCCTATAATCTCAGCACTTTGGGAAGCTGAGGCAGGTGGATCACCTGAGGTCAAGAGTTCGAGACCAGCCTGGCCCACATGGCGAGAACCCATTTCTACTAAAAATACAAAATTAGCCAAGCGTGGTGGCCAGTGCCTGTAATCCCAGGAGGCAAGGCTGGAGAATCGCTTGAACTGGGAGTTGGAGGGTGCAGTGAACTGATATTGTGCCATTGCATTCCAGCCTGGGCGACGAGAGAAACTCCATTCCCTCCCAACCCCCCCAAAAAAAAGAATACAGAGAGATATAAATAAAAAGTTATCCATGTCCACCATCCAGGATATAAATGAAAGTTAGTTAGTTCCTCTTAATCTTTTTTATGCATATATTTTTATATAGTTGAGATTTGTACAGTCTTTTTATGTGTATAATTTTGCATTTTTTTCTAATTAGCATATCCAGAAACATTTTCCTATGATGTTAAAAAGTTTTATAAAGACAATTCTTATAGGTATTTAATATTATATTATATGTGAATGATTTGGAATTCACATATAGGACATCATATTGATCCCTATTAGATTTATATGGTTGCTTTTATCCCATAATTTCATTTTGTTAAGATTCACTTTGGGTTCTAATTTGTTATCTGTCAAATTAACTCTCATACAGCTTTAGGTCATCCATAGATTTTTCTAAGGTAGTTGTTCTTATCTGCAGAGCTCTTTGTTCAAATAAAATCTTTTAAAGAATAACAGATGAAAGTTGAACTGTTCAAAGACAGTAAGTGGGAAGTTTGGGAAACTTAGTGACTAGTGGCCCCTGAAGGAATTTTCCAGGAACCCTAGGATTTAGAACAACTTAGCTTTAAGAAAATACAGTGTAGGCTGGGCGTGGTGGCTCACGCCTATAATCCCAGCACTTTGGAAGGCTGAGGCGGACAGATCACCTGAGGTCAGGAGTTCAGGACCACCCTGGCCGACATGGTGAAACCCTGTCTCTACTAAAAAAACAAAAATTTGGCCGGGCGCGGTGGCTCAAGCCTGTAATCCCAGCACTTTGGGAGGCCGAGACGGGCGGATCAGGAGGTTAGGAGATCGAGACCATCCTGGCTAACACGGTGAAACCCCGTCTCTACTAAAAAATACAAAAAACTAGCCGGGCGAGGTGGCGAGCGCCTGTAGTCCCAGCTACTCGGGAGGCTGAGGCAGGAGAATGGCGGGAACCCAGGAGGCGGAGCTTGCAGTGAGCTGAGATCCGGCCACAGCACTCCAGCCTGGGCAACAGAGCGAGACTCTGTCTCAAAAAAAAAAAAAAAAACAAAAAACAAAAATTAGCCAGGCATGGTGGCACGCACCTGTAATCCCAGCTACTTGGGAGGTTGAGGCATGAGAATCGCTTGAACCCAGCAGGTGGAGGTTGCAGTGAGTCGAGATGGCGTCTCTGCACTCCAGCCTGGGCGACAGAGCAAGACTTCATCTCAAAAAAAAAAAAAAAAAAATACAGTATAGGTCTTTGATAAAAATCAGTTTTTAGAAAGCCACCAAACTTCTGCCATTTTGGACCACATGGGACCAAGATGACTTTGAATCCAGGGTGACAACAGATTTGTTCTCAGGGGGAGCTGAGGTCAAAAGAAGTAACTAGTAGTCGTTTTGATTACCAGGAGCTCTGAGCCTCAGTCTTCCTTCTGATGTGGGGGTCAAGATTTGTTAGGCTGTAAGAAGGTCCCAGTTTATTACCTTTCTACACCACACCATCTCTAGTTTGTCTCGTAAAGCTAGTGTGCTCAAATGCAAAACAAAATAGTTTGAACCTTCCAGCAGGTATTCTAATACATGTAGAAGAGATTAAGAGTTTTCTGGCTTTCAAATCACCCAATCTAAGTTGAATCCAGGCTCTGCTACCTTCTAGCTATGTGACCTTGGGTAAATTTAATCTTTCAAAGGCTCAATTCCCTCAACTGTAAAATGAAGAGAATAATAGTATCCATTCCTAAGATAATATGTTAATGCCTGTAAAGCACAGTTATTAGCACACAAGACATATTAAGTGATCAACTTTTAAATACAGATGCTCCACATCTTACAATGGGCTATATCCTGATTAATCCATCCTAAGTTGAAAATGCACTTTCAGCTTATCTAGCTGTAACTCCATCGTAAATTGAGAAGCATACTAAGTGCATATCACATTCATGTCATCGTAAAGTTGAAAAATCATCAAGTCAAACCATCATAAGTAGGACACTATTACCAAAAAAATTTAAATATTATCAAATGTATTATGTTTATTATTATTAGAAGTGGCTCTGTGTTCTGCTTTTCTCTGCTTCCATATTCTGTGAGTATATTCATTGTTGCGTTTTCTAATCCTCAAAATTGCTTTCTAGGAGGTTGAGGAAATACCTGGAGGATGAGGCAGAGGTGTCAGGAAGTGATGTGGGAAGTGAAGATGAGTATGATGGGGAAGAAATTGATGAATATGAAGAGGATGTAATTGATGAAGTACTTCCTTCTGATGAGGAACTACAGAGTCAAATCAAGAAAATACACATGTCAGTATCCCAACAAGCCCTTCTGAGTAATAGGGTACATCTTAAGACAAGCCCTATAACCAGCCAGAATGGTCCTTGTTTTGAGCACCCTATTTCTTCTGTTGCAGGAAAACTATGTTGGATGATGATAAGCGACAGCTACGTTTATACCAAGAGAGATACCTTGCTGATGGGGATCTGCACAGTGATGGTCCTGGGCGAATGAGAAAGTTTCGATGGAAAAACATAGGTATCCTGGTTGTTGTCTTTAAAAGCAATCAGTTATGGGCCGGGTGTGGTGGCTCACGCCTGTAATCCCAACACTTTGGGAGGCAGAGGTGGGCAGATCACAAGGTCAGGAGTTCAAGACCAGCCTGAAAAACATGGCGAAACCCCATCTCTACTAAAAGTAACAAAAATTAGCCAGACGTGATGGCATGCACCTGTAATCCCAGCTACTCAGGAGGCTGAGGCAGGAGAATTGCGTGAACCTGGGAGACAGAGGTTGCAGTGAGTGGAGATCACACCATTGCACTCCAGCCTGGGTGACAGAGCGAGACTCCATCTCAAAAAAAAAAAAAAAAAAAAAGGCAAACAGTTATAATTCACATTTGTCCAGTTTCAGATGGCAAATGGCAAGCAAAACTATAACAGGCTATGTGAAGACCTAGTTGTAACTGTTGTTTTCTGTTAGAGGATGGGAAAAGTTTACATCATTATGTAGTAAATGATAAGGGTTTATTTTTTGTCTGTCCAAGCACCCTCTCCTGTGAGGACTGCCGAATGCTGATTACCTTCACTCTTTGTTTAGATGATGCCTCCCAGATGGACTTGTTCCACAGAGACTCTGATGATGATCAGACTGAAGAACAGCTTGATGAGTCAGAAGCCAGGTGGAGGAAGGAGCGAATTGAACGAGAGCAGTGGCTTCGGGACATGGTAGGAGTTCATCTACTCTGACCCTAGTTTATGAGACTGTCACTTAGCTTGTCATGATAGTTTCAAAATCTTAGGCAACATATTGCTATCTTTTTTAATCCTCGAGCTATCTTTTGTGTTTTGAGAAGGCTATACCATGGACAGTTCTCTTCGTGTTTGTCTAAGATTAATTTTTTTTGTCTAAAGCAGCAAAGCCTGCAAAAAGGAAAACAAATATCCCAGGAACTCTAGATTCACAATCCAGGCCATACTATTTAGGAAGGCTATAGACTTTTTTTAATGCTGTATAATTTTTTTTTCAGGCACAGCAGGGGAAAATTACAGCTGAAGAAGAAGAAGAAATTGGGGAGGACAGTCAGTTTATGATACTGGCCAAGAAAGTTACAGCCAAAGCACTGCAGAAGAATGGTGAGCTCTTGTTTCTCCTTAGGGTCTAGCCCCCCGGATTGTTAGTGGTAGAGCTTTGGAGGTGACTCTAACCTTCAGGAGCTATTGCAGCTTAATCATAAGCTTGTGTCTAATACTGTCTTAAAGAGGTTTCTCAGAGGTGGTGGGAGACCGTGTACTTAGACCTTAGACTATTGGGCAGTAGAGACTGTATTTGTGAGTATATGTGGCTGGTTTTACTTTATGTTCTAAGGCTCAGAGTAGTTAATTCTGGCTTTCTCTATTTAGTTGCCCAGGATTGTATACCCAAGTGTTAGAGGTGGGATTTGAATCCAGGAATATTTAACTCCAAAAAGCTCTTCACTATTCCATACACTTACCACTTTTGTTTTTCTTAAATGATTACTGTTCAACTTAGTTGTGTCTCTTCTTGGAGCCAATTATTAGAGTTTCAAAGTCACCATTATATAGAACAGAGTTCCCATGGCTTTAGCATATTGATTTAGTTATAAGATTTCTTAACTTGTTTAGAGTTAAAAGTAATTCTAATCAGCTTTTCCCAGAATAGGCCTCTCTGTCTTTTCTTTCCAGCCAGTCGCCCTATGGTTATTCAGGAATCAAAGTCTTTGCTCAGAAATCCTTTTGAAGCCATCAGACCAGGAAGTGCTCAACAGGTTGGTTGGGAACCTTATTAATCTGACATCATAGTCTACAGGTTATAAACGCCCAGGTCCAGCTTAGGGAATAGCCTCTGTCATTAGAAGAAGGAGGTGGCTGCAGGGAAAGAGTTAATGTCAAAGAGTCTGCTATTTCTTTTCTATTTGAATAGGGTAGGAATATGTACCCTCAATATCTAGGGGGAAGCAGGGAGGGAAAGACTTTTCATTCTTTAGTTGGCACTTGGGATTTGATACCAGATGACTCTTCTTTCCTCAGGTGAAGACAGGCTCACTGCTAAACCAGCCCAAAGCTGTGCTTCAGAAACTGGCTGCTCTCTCTGACCGTAACCCCAGTGCTCCTCGAAATTCAAGAAACTTTGTCTTTCATACACTTTCTCCTGTCAAGGCTGAGGCGGCAAAGGAATCGTCTAAGTCTCAGGTATGGAATTTGAGAACTAATATGGTGGCTTCCCAAACCAGAATTTATTTATTTATTTACATTTAAAAACAAAAATTCTGGCTTAACCTCTTTGTGCTGCAATGTTGAAATTTTGCACTCCCCGATAAGGTACAAGAGAATTGCTACCCCTAGTAGGTAATCAACTTTTACACTTGCCTAGAAAGTTTATCTTTCTTTTTTTCTGTTGTTAATCATCCACAATTTATGAGTTGCTTGAGAGCTAATTGAAGGTAAGTACTTGTATGAAGGTCTTAAGCTGGCTCTGACTCCCTCTGCTCTCTAGGTAAAGAGAAGGGGTCCATCTTTCATGGCTTCTCCTTCACCTAAGCGCCTCAAAACAGAAGATAGCACTTCAGGATTGAAGCGAAGCATCTTCAAATACTTGGAGAGCTAACACCATCAAAGTTGCCAAAATCTACATTGAGACTGCTTTGAGAAGTTCCTAGCACTGAAAGTTGGAATTGACACTCAAGCCAACGATCCTTCCTTCCTTCATAATCAATGCAATAAGATTGCAGACAGAAATTCCTGTTCTTTCTACTGCACAGCTCTGGACATCTCTTTTCCTAGTATTATTCCCTGGATTAGCCACTGATCTCAGTTCTGCAGTATTTACAACATCAACAACTCATGGAATACTTGGGTGAGGTTTGTTTTTTTTTTTAAGATGGAGTCTCACTCTGTTGCCCAGGCTGGAGTGCAGTGGCATGATCTCAGCTCACCGCAACCTCCGCCTCCCAGGTTCAAGCGATTCTCCTGCCTCAGCCTCCCAAGTAGCTGGCATTACAGGCATGTGCCGATATGCCCAGCTAGTTTTTGTATTTTTAGTAGAGACAGGGTTTCACTATGTTGGCCAGGCTGGTCTTGAACTCCTGACCTCAAATGATCCACCCGCTTTGGCCCCGCAAAATGCTGAGATTACAGGCATGAGTCACCGCACCTGGCCTTGGGTTAGGTTTCACTTCTTCCATTAAACATTTGACATTTTATCTTAGCAGCTTTCTGGGTTAATATCTCTTTGTCATAGAAGTGGTTGGAAGAGGAAGAGTAGGGAAAAGTGTGACATTACAGATTAAACAGTGAAAATCAGTTCCACAATGACTCCTTTACACCCATGATATATGTACCATGATGACCAGGGTTCAGTGAAAGAAAGATTTCTTTTCTTTTTTTTTTTTTTTGAGACAGTCTCACTTTGTTGCCTAGTCTGGAATGCAGTGGCGCATTTTGGCTCATGGCAGCCTCTGCCTCCCGGGTTCAAGTGATTCTCCTGTCTCAGCCTCCCAAGTAGCTGAGACTACAGGCGCATGCTACCACACCCGGCTAATTTTTGTATTTTTAGTGGAGACAGGGTTTCACCATGTTGGCCAGGCTGGTCTCGAACTCCTGACCTCAAGTGATCCAGCTGCCTCAGCCTCCCAAAGTGCTGAGATTACAGGCATGAACCACACTGTGCCCGGCCAAAAGCAAGATTTATTAGACAGAGGACCTAGGAACCAATAGATGGGCTGCTGTGTTATTCTTACCCCTTTCATTTTCCTGTATGCTTCTTCCCAAGCCAGCATCAAATTTTGAATTAATTTTTGCTGCTTAATAAGGACTTAAACTGGTACCCAAGTCAGAAAGACTGGCTCTAATTTTCTGGAGCTTGGGGATGAAGATAAAGCGTTACATCCAGTGTTTGTCCACCACAGTCTATGAGGCAGAGAGACCTTCCCTGGGACTGAATTCTCAATTTGAAGCACTGTTGTTCAAAGACCTCCCTTCTGGGTCTGACAAGAAGAAACATAACCATTATTTATTGCATTCTCCTGGCTTACATACATTGCCCTCACTAGTCAATCGACATTTCAGTATTTCATTACTAATTTTGAGAGAAGACCACCATGGAATTTAAAAAATTATTGAAGAGAATTGCCATCATTCTCCATTTGCCCTGAACTACCACAAGCTTCTTAGAATTTTAGACAAATGTTTTTCCCCTCAGAACTGAGCATCAATGCTGCTTTCGAAAAACATTCCATGTGAATACTGTGGTTTCAGTGTCAGGACCTGGACTTGGGAAGGTGGAAGAGAGTGTGCCAGTTTTTTATTGGGAGATGGGAACACAAATTTAATTGATGCAATTAGGTTGTAGGTTTTCTACAGTTTTTCTTTTCTTTCCTCTTTCCTCTTTTCTTTTCTTTTTCTTTTTCTTTTCTTTTCAACATAGGCTGGCTCTGTCTCCTAGGCTACCCAGGTTCCAGCAATTCTCCTGCCTTGGCCTCCCGAGTAGCTGGGATTACAGGTGTCCACCACCACACGCACCTAATTTTGTGTATTTTCAGTAGAGATGGGGTTTCGCCATGTTGGTCAGGCTGGTCTTGAGCTCCTGACCTGAGGTGATCCACCCGTCTCAACCTCCCAAAGGGCTGGGATTACAGGTGTGAGCCACCGCACCCAGCCAGTTTTCTAATACTCAAGATGTTGACTTTGACAATACTTATGTTTGTATATTTGTAATCTTATAATGGGGGAAATGTGTATAAAGATGTTTTAATATGTATGTAGTTTTTCAATAAATCTTAATGCCTTGAAAATTTGCTGTCCAGCTTCAATGTTCATTCTTAGGTCAGTGCCTATCTAACCTTGAAGAGCATTTCATTTTCAGGTTATCTCCATCCCAGGGAAACCCTCTGGGTCTAAAGTGAGAGGCTGCTGCAATTGTCCCCTCACTGGCTTCTCAGTCCTAGTGAATTGATCAAGTTAACTTACCAAGCGGTTTGGGTTCAGCTCAGGTGAAGAGGATAATTGAGTTTATATAAATGGTACCTTCTATTATAACTCTTTAAAAAAAAAAAAAAATTTTAGAGACAGTCTCATTCTGTTGCCCAGGTTAGAGTGCAATGGCACAATCATAACTCACTGTACCCTTGAACTCCTGGGCTTCAGCATCCTCCTTCCTCAACCTTTGGAAGAGCCGGGCCACATTACAGGCACATGCCACCATGCCCAGTTAATTATTTTATTTTAGTAGAGACAGGGTCTTGCTGTGTTGCCCCAGCTGATCTTGAGCTCCTGGCCTCAAGTAATCCTCCCACCTTGGCCTCCCAAAATGCTGGGGTCACAGGCTCAGCCACCATGCCCAGCCTGTTATAGCTTTGATTGGCCTTTCTCTTTAACTGAGTTTGTGTGTACTTCATTTTATCCATGGGTTCAAGATAAGTGTTTTTGCCTCTTTCTTTGAACTCTCTAAACAGTGCCCAAGGCAAGGTGGCCTTTGCTGGGCCAAAGAGAACTGAGCAGGAAGGCTAGATATTTCTCCCCTCTTGTTTCCCTACATGTCTTTTAGGGAGAGATGGAAAAGACAATTGGAATTGACAACTGAGGATAAGAAAATTCAGCCAGGTGGCGATGGCTCATGCCGGTAATCCCAGCACTTTAGGAGACTGAGGTGGGTGCATTGCTTAAACTCAGGAGTTCGAGACCAGCCTGGGCAACATGGTGAAACCCTGACTCTATAAAAAAAAGGAAAGGAAGGAAGGAAGGGAGGGAGGGAGGGAAAGAAAGAAAGGAAGAAAGAAAGGAAAGAAAGGGAAGAAAGAAAATTTGTGCCTGAGAAATCCAGGGAGAAAATGGTTTCTGGGCCCGGCGTGGTGGCTCACATCTGTAATCCCAGAACTTTGGGAGGCCGAGGTGGCTGGATCACCTGAGGTCAGGAGTTGGAGACCAGGCTGACCAACAAGGTGAAACCCCGTCTCTACTAAAAATACAAAAATTAGCCAGGCGTGGTGGTGGCAGGCGCCTGTAGTCCCAGCTACTTGGGAGGCTGAGACAGGAGAATTGCTTGAACCTTTGAGGTGGAGTTTGCAGTGAGCTGAGATCGCGCCACTCTACTCCAGCATGAGCAACAGTGAGACTCCCTCTCAAAAAAAAAAAAAAGAAAGAAAGAAAGAAAATGGTTTCTGATTGAGGCTCCTGGGAGAAAGCCCTCTTTGGAGAAAGAAAACTTGAGCCTTAAACTCTGGGTTACTTTCCTTATGCCAGGATAGCTGCTATAAAGTAAGCTAAGCCTTGATCTTGGTAACAGCATTGAAATGGACAGTTTTGATCTGACCCTTATGCCCTTTGCCCAAAGCACTGAGCCAGCAGTATCAGCTATGTTTTAATGAAATTGAAGCCCCAGGACCTGACACTATGGCTCACAGGAGGACTCAGCTCCACTAGCTTGGAAATTACATATTTGGAGGGATCAGAGCCCATGAGTGTGGGAGATAGGGTATGCTCAGTGTCAGTCAATCTTTTTGTTTCCTCCTTGTTCCATACGCTTGAGTAGGGATACATGGTATTAACCTCTTTAAACGGGTCTCTAATTTCATCTCATTAATTCACAATTGCACAGCCATACTAGGGTCTCTTCCATAAACCGTAAGATTTTATTCACCAAAGCTCTAGAGACAAGGTGCTCAGATCTCTGGCATCCCTCATTTTCTCAACTGCTTCTCTACAAACTTCTGCTCACTTTGAGAGTTTCTAATGCTCAGGCTGAAAGACTTTTTAGGGGGTGTTTTTGGTTTTTATCTCCTAGGGTTGTCTCATTCACTCTTGGGGCATCCTGTCCTGAGATTTGTGCACCTAAGGATAGAGAAGAGTATTTCTGGGAGGAGTGTTCCCATGATACTATTTGATTATGTCATCTTTGAGATGGTATTGTATCTTCTACCCTTATATCCTACTCATGGCCTGGCACACAGTTTGGAATGTAGTGGTGCCTACCACAGTTTGAATAAATAACACTACACCTTTCACAGCCTCTGTTTATAAAATGAGGATAGTAAGTCATGGCTGTCTCAGAGTTGCTGGGGGGCTTCATTTGAAAAATGTATGTCAGTGCATTATGTCAAGTGCCACTCTGTAAGCATAAGAAATTGCCAGTAGCTCCCAGAAAAAAAGAAATTCACCTCCTTTGAGAATGAAAGAAAGAAATTACCAGTATCACAATTATATCATATTTTGTAGGCCACTTCTTAAAGGCCCATTGTTTCTCAAATATCTCGAACTTGGCTGGGCGTGGTGGCTCACACCTGTCATCCCAGCACTTTGGGAGGCTGAGGCAGGCGAATCACTTGAGGTTAGGAGTTCGAGACCAGCCTGACCAACATGGAGAAACCCCATCTCTACTAAAAATACAAAATAAGCCGGGCATGGTGGCGCATGCCTGTAATTCCAGCTGCTTGGGAGGCTGAGGTAGGAGAATTGCTTGAACCTGGGAGGTAGAGGTTGCAGTGAGCCGAGATTACACCACTGCACTCCAGCCTGGGCAACAAGAGCGAAACTCCATCTCAAAAAAAAAAAAAAAAAACTCAAACTTAACATGAAAATGTGATTTTCTCTAAAAACCTGCTTTTCCTCCTGTATTTGCCATTTCAGTAAAAGCTACCTCCATATATCTAGTCACTCAGACTGGAAACCTGAAGAGCATTCTCGACCCCTTCCTTAATCCTGTAATCAGACAGTCTCCAAGTTCTGTTATTTCTACCTACTTGCAAACTGCATCTTGAATCAGCTCATTTCTTCCAGCTCTATGGCCAGCACCCTGGTCCAAGATTCCATAATTTCTTTCCAGGGTCCTACTATAGCCTCCTGACCTCCCCACTTCTGTTTTTGCTTCCCTTCCATCCAGTCTGCACAGCAGCCAGAGGTGATCTTTATATAAATATAATTTGGAAGATGATACTTCCCTACTTAAAATCTTTTAATGTCTTCCACTGCACTCAAAGTTCAAACTCCTCATGGCCGATACATGATATAGCTCTGCC